TATATATATATATATATATATATATATATATATATATAATATGAAGAGGAATTCTGTCTCTCTTTTTTCCTCTTTTTGTATGGTTCCCTGTAATGTGTTTGTTACGGGGGAGGGCTAAAAGAGTTGAAAGCAACAACCGTGGCAATTTTCACGGGGGGATATACGCGCGTGCGTGCGGCGTGTACGCACAGTTTTTACCGGCTAATCTATCATCTTAGATTCTTAACAGCATTTGCATTTACGACACCGACGATGTAACGCCGGCGATTACGAGACTCCGGAATTATCTCCATGCGATTGTAGTAATTATCGCTCGCGCTCTCTTCGCGAGGCTGGAGGGCGAATCGCCTGTGATTTGTCCGTTTTCGGCAGCCCGGCATTTGCATCTCGATTGCCATTCTTATCGGCCTGCCGTAATCACGCTAGACGCTAGACGATTTGCGATCGTGCCTGCCTCAAATTGTGGGTATCATGAATATTGCCGCAGTGCGGTGTATTAAAACCGGCCGATGAAAAGTTCGAGAGCAGTCGCGAGTGGAGAGAAGTGCTTGAGGATTAATCCTGATAATACCCACTAGTATTAACCCCAGCAACACTGGCCAATATCCAGAATACTATGAGGATATCGCATATTTAACACCAAGTATACTCCATCGCCAGCCGAATTCTACACAATGAAATATATAGTGGAATCGGATATTCCCGATGGATTGGCTGAAAAAGTTGATAGGAATTGCAATCGACATGTTTCCCTTTTCTTTTTAATAAAAAAGGAACTTTACGGACGTTCCTCGTTGGACATTGGAGAAAGAGAGAGAGTCGTCTTTGCTGGAGCAATCGAGCACACTTCGAAATGTTAAACGCAACACAACCGTTGCATCTCTGGATCTTCACAGATCCGTAGATCCGTAGATCCTCAGTCAAGATAATCTCAATCCACCAGATGCGTCGTAAATAACGATGAACGAATAACGCCTGTGGAGGCATGGAAGAGAGAGCGAGAGAGAGAGAAAGAGGGCGAGAGGAAAAGAGAAAAAGAGGACGCCTTGGAAGCGTTTTCGCTATAAAAGGTAAAACTTAAAGTGAGATTATGAAGATGATCTTGAGATTCATTATGAATTCCGGCGACGGAACCTTCCGTTCTTCCGCTCTTCCGTCCCATGATTACTTCCGTCTGGTCATTTTTTCTTGGCCAGCTCAATGGAGGAACGGCGGGAAAAAGTTGGCGCGCATATACAATGGTGTCTTACCACGCCGCTGGTAATAAAGGAGTCGCGTATACAAGATAAATTTTCCATGGCGGTCTCGCAAAAAGCCATTAACGTCTGTAAAAAGTTCCGGCACGTTCCATTGTTAATTTCTTTGTCATCATTATTCATAATTTCATTACGCCGCTCTCGCACAACCGCGCAATACAAACGCTCGTTAAAGGCGCAAAATGTTTGGATGCCACCGTTGTGTTCCGACACCGGCAACGGCTTCGAAATTCAATCTACTTCGAGCGTTTGATAATATCCAATAATTTCACGCACGTAATGTACAGTCGGAAATGTGCGTACGATTCTGCTTTCCAATGTCGGGGCTAAATATCGTTAACCAATCGAGGAAATATTAAAGAGACCGAGGCGAGCTGCGCTGATTTCGAATTTTTTTCATCTCATGCAGGATTTAACGAAACGGGATTTTAAGAGAATCGGAGTTGATTGAGATGAAACTTGAGATATTAACTGGAAAAGGCGCTCTCTCTTCCTGTCTCCTCTCTCTCTCTCTCTCTCTCTCTCTCTCTCTCTCTACATCTCTCTTAATATAAAATTTGTACCAGATTAAAAACTATCTGCATCGACGTATTAAACTTTAAAATAAATAGCTGTAAAATATATCGACGTCGTTTTTTATAATATTCGATTAATGCTTGTTTCAGGCTGTTTTTTGCTCTTTAATTGTGACAGAATTGCGATTCGTTCTTGCAGTCGAGGGGAACGTGTTTACCGCGCTTGCATTCGCATTCATTCCTCGAGAAATGCAGCAATCTATGGCTTGTCACATGAAATAGCATGAGTTGCGGAACTTCGAGGAACATTTCTTGCTCCCATTATTGCAGCGCGGCTTAGTTGGGAGATTTGAAAATCGTTTTATTCTGTATTGCCGCATTCTACAGGTTATCCCGGTCTTTTCGGTGAGAATCTCTCACGGTTTGCACGTAAATTTCCGATAGGAATTAAATTACATCTTGATACGAGCACGAAATAAAACTCATTGTAGGAGACGCGTGGCATTTGAGATTTTTAATTTAGATTTCTTAAGTGCAAACGTAAATAATCTATACGCCAGATTTCCCGGTTTCTTGAATTTGATTTCTCCTCTCAATTTGATCTTTTGAAAATCAAGCTTTACAATTTCATCATTTTTATGTGTTTTCTATATATACATATAGTAAGAAAGTGAATATTTCATTCATGCGACGGAAATTCGCACATATATTAGAAAATTATATTTGACTGAGTAAAATTTTCACATTTCCGAATGATGCTCTCATATCTAAAAATGTACCGAAAGGTGTTTGCGCTCGCCAAGATTTCTCAGATTTTCTGAGGTGTTCCGAGAAAATCGAGAGAAACGTTTTCCCACGTAGCCCGACGTGTAATTACCTCGTGTATCTGCGTATTTTCCACGTCGGCAAGAACAAGAGTCGTAAGTGTAAATCGCGTCGCGATCAGAAGCGGATCGGAAAAATTATTCCGCGAGTTTCTGACGTGTTCCCCTCTCTCATGCGGCTTCTTGCGGCAATCGATGAATTACACCGATTCTACTAGAGATAGCGGACTCGACGGGAATACGGTGGTGTCTTTCCTCTCTCGTAGTTGTTTCCAGGCCCTTATCTCTGTTAAAGTCTCGATTCCTCCGTTTGTCCTGTGGATCTCTAACGCCCGCAGGTATCTAGTTTCGTATTACCTCGAGATATTCAGCTCGTAAGGTTTCTAGGTTTCACCTATTATGTATTAAGGTGACCACAACGGAGGAAGTGCAGGTAAGGACACCGAGTATATCTGTTCGGCTTTCCGTGAATATGACCTTTGGGCTCGCATGAAAATAGCAGATACAAAGATCACCGACGGTGCCCGCTCGCTCGTAACCAATTTTTAACATTTCTATAATACTTTCGATACGATTGCGAAAGTACTTTGCGAGACTTACGTCCGGGACAAATACGATGAAAATTTCGACAGTTGCGTCTGTGGAAGAGCGAACAAAGATTTCGCGACATAGGCGTCGCACAAACACGAAAACTAATCGTTGTGTGATGGTGCGATCCTAGAATGACACACGGCGTTTGCAGACGAGCGCAATCTCGACGCTCAAAGTCAACAATGATATGAGGTTGATTGTGATATGCAAATGGAAGATCAGTGGAAAGGCAGAGGAGAGGCGGAGGCACCTAATGAATATTTACTCGTCCCGCTCAGCGACAGTAAAGTATAGCTATATATCGATACTCGGCCGCACGTCGATTAAACGTATAATTTTCGTATTAAAGTCTCGATCATATCGTTAAACAGTTGCCTCATGCCAATACCAGACGTCGCGTATACCTATCTTTCGTATTTCCGTTATTACATTTAGTTCCAATTTAAATCCAAATCCAAAAACTTTTTACATAGAAAAAAAATTTGAGAATTTCTTAAAAATAAAGGTTAAAAATAAGGATATTTAATAAGAAATAGAGTCACTTATAATTGAAAAAGATAAAATATAATGAATATTAATCAAATAAGCTTAAACAGTTTAAAAGTACTCCGTGAAAAGTCTATTCAGAGACAAATTACTAATCTATCAATTCTACTCACGTGTGTCACCAGCACGGCAAATTAGCTACTCTGGAAAGGTTCCTCGTACAACGTTGACTTCTTAAGTCCTGGAATCCCTGATTTATCGTCAAGGATTTATTAACCCTACTAATAATCTCTCTGAACAGATCCATCACTCACAAACTGTACAAACATCATTCACCTCACTACGTGACATCATTAGTTCCATTCTTAAAAATGAAAAAAAAAAATGTTTCTCAGAACTCGTGCAGAATATACTCGAGCGGGTTTCTTTATCGTGAAATAACCAAGTTTTCCGCACGGAGAACACAGTTCTGGGCTCCGCTCCTCTAAGAAGATTCACTTGGGTGCTTCCTGCAGAATCGATTATCGCGCACGTGTTCGCCAACTGTCAGGAGATTTTTTCATCCCTGATTTGCCGGCCGTTAATCCATCACGCTTAGTGCGAAGCAGCGCGAAGAAAACCGCGCGTGTCGAATCGAAGATGGCGCGCGCGGTTTCAAAGAACATGCATTAATTCAACGCCAAAGATCACACGTTGACAAATGCGCGCCGGCTGAATGGAGGAAAAACAGCTTTACGTCGTGTTGTAGTGCACGCGTAGCGTGTCGGTCGCGAGTGTTTTGCAGATATTTTAGTTGAGTTACGTAACTTTCGTAAAATTACTGATATCTGATACTCATAGACGCGCAATCAACTTGTCACATGTGACAATTTAATGTTTAGTTTAATAGCTTTTTTAATATTTTTATATACGTATAACATGTTTTTTTAGGTTCTGCTTTAGCTTTCAATTTATATCACCATGAGTGTGCAATTTTATCGACTCGCTCGTTCGTTTGCTCGTTTAATTACAATGGCTTCTGGTGCAACCACAAAAATGCAGACATACGAAATATCATATTGGAAAAAGAGAAAAGGATAGAGAAAGAGAGAGTGAAAGAGAGAGAAAGAGAAAGAGAGAAAGAGTGATATTTACATGGAAAGCAAATTATCAGAAAAAGAAAAAATAATAATTTACGGAACTTTTTCATTATTTAAATAAAAGTGCGTAGAAAAAATTATTTTTTCCTAGATATTAAAAATTTTTTAATATAAATAATTAAATTTCAAGAATTATTACTCTAAAATTAATATTCTATTGTTGCAAAAAAACTTTGTAACAATCTTGAAATTAATGGTCGATTTAAAAATCCTAGCTCTTTGAATGACACGTTAAAATAAAAATAGTTTTTCATTTCGCTGCAAATGTCGCGCTGTTTGCGCTTAAAGATTGAAACTTAATTCACCGCTTAAGGGGCAAAATAAGACGAAGCGTCACGACAGGATAATGTTGACGCATCGTTGACACCTGATCCTTCGATCAATCCTTCTTAAGGGTCGCCCAGAGCACGTATAAAGGTCTTTCTAGCGCGACGTTGATGAATCGCGCGTTTATCATAAAAATACCAAACGGGTGTCAAAACAGAAAACGTAATCACGAAGCCACGAGTTGTGTCCCGTTGAGAAAATAGGACACGACGTGACGACCTTGCCGTGTGGAGGGTCCTTAAGGGAAGGACGAATTCGCGCCACAAAGATTCGCGTGACTGGATTCGCGTGAAGGAACGATCAAGTGAATGAACGAACGCGTCCAATTAACTGAGATTTATTAACCTGACAAATTTCCTTATCGAAATTAACCTTAATTAAAAGCTGATGAATTAACTTTTTATTTCCTTCCAGCGCGCTTGCTAACGTAAACGTCGCGCATTTATGAAGAATTTACAAACCGCTGAAAGAATTTAAGAGTTAACTTCTATAAAAAAATTGTATCTACCTCTTTAACGATCCGATTTTATAATTTATGCAATTATTAATGGTTACGTCGCTCACTTGCATGGTTTTTCATCAATTTTGATATCTAACGTGTCAAGATCTTTGTATTAGAATATTTGAAAGCACATATTTTTGTTATGTTTTGTTGTAAATTTATTGTGATTTGCAATAAATTTGAATCTTTCGTTTCTTTAAACCTGCAATCAATTATTCTGATAGGTATTACAATTTCTTTATGTTACACTAATATTGCGTGTTTAAAATAATTGTCTCGAGTATTTATTTGAATCTTGTTATCTTTATGTTTTAGGACGATTCTTCAAGATAATTACAATGTTTCAATTGCACTTACACACTCTTCAACTTTACCACAACGCTACCGCGTATCTTCCATCCTTAATTCACAGATCTCAAGCGTTCTGAGCACTTGCGCGCAAACGAATACACTTAGAGGCACTTGAACACATTTCTCTAAAATTGTATCACAATCACATTCGTCCTCCGATCGGCAAGTGTCTTGGTGGCACGTGGGTTTAAAATTGGAACTCCGCGAGGCAGGGTCGCTTCTTCAACGCAGCGGCGACGAGGGTCGCGGCAGTGGCGAGATCACTTTGCGTCGCGGATGTTACTTGGACGTCCTTGTCAATGGTGGTAAAGGTACAGAAGGAGAGATGTACTTGGCGCGAGATCTAGCTGAGAGTGGTACCACCGGCCACTGAAGAAGAAGTGCTGTGTGCGGATCGCACGGCCGGGTGAAACGAAGACAGGAGAGTTGAAATGGTAAGGGACAGTGGAGGCCGAAAGAGAAGTAGAAGGAGGACGAAGGGAGGGGGGAGGATCCTCCGCGTCCTTCCAGGTGGGAGAGGGAGACGGAGGTCCGTCAAGGGACCCACAGCGCCGAAAACATGGCCACCTGGACCGTCCTCGTCCTTTTCGCTCCTTTTTTAGCGCCTCGAGATCACGGTGTTTAACAATGTTTGTTTATCTGCGCCTGTCCATCCGCACGTACAAGTTAAAATTTTTATCTTGCGTAAATGACGCTAATTAAAATATTATATCAGTGATTTGAAAATCTTATGTGTGTATTTTTGTTCGATGATGAAATATAAAATCGTACTAAGATATCACGATATATTTTGCAAGAACTTTTAATACTGAATTCTAAGTTGATAAGCAGAATAATTTTGTTTTCACTGTACGCATTGTTAAAAAAATATTCCAGATCTTCGTAATTCGTTCAATTTCTGCTAAAAGTTTAACTTTTTCTCGTTTTCCCATAATCCTTAAAAATAATTGATAAATTTCACACATCTCGAGATAAAATAGCGACCTTTTAAACGAGAACAGAGCAGCCAAATGCCTCTTGATGACGCGGCGGGAAAATTAATTTCACGTCGTTACACGGGGAACTAATTTTTTCGGGTGACACGTTGATCCTGAGATTGCGCGGGTCACTATGGGCGATCACCCAACAATTGCTTCGTCTATGGCGAAGGTCGCGAGCGAAACAGCCGATTGAAGACTTTCTTGCACCATCATCACCCTCGCGTCAGGTCCTCAAGGCATAATGCGATAGCCCTTTACTGCCGTAATATGAACATCAGCCGGTAACGAACGTTGACAAGTAAAAGTGGACTTAAGTACTAAATCTAGCAACATTACTGCCCGTCATCGTGCAAATGAACAAAATATATTCTTTACTCTTTTGCATAGAAACTACTAAATTTGCATGGTGTTTGCAAATTATTAAAAAACATACATATATATGCAAAAGAAAGGCAAAAAATGTGCATATTATGTAAAAGAAAAATAATAATTATGAAGTTACAGTACGGATATTATAAAATAAAAAATTGAATTTTAAAATTAAATTGCAAAATTGCTTATAGAGTCTTTATAAATCCATGAATACTATTTTCTAGATGCAGAGGTCGTAAAGCGAGAAAAATTCAATTCTTGAAAACATTTAAAATTTAAAATCCAAGAAATCTAGTTTCTCTCTCCAGAAAATCTCTTGGAAATTTAAAAAATATATCTTATATTAAGAAAGTTTTAATGTTTCTTTTTCTTCGTAAGCAAAACACACAAGTGTTTCTTATGTAGAATATTATAAAATGTGCTGAATGTATTCAGTAAAAAAAAGAGTCATAAATACGTATGAGAGAATTAAACATCTAGTTAAAACACATATTTTTATAATGTGCAATGTGTGTGTGTGTGTTTTATATGAATTGCATCCTACAATTACAGAAATGCGAGAAAGAGAAAGATCTCATGAAAACCTTAGAAAAAATCTGCTTCTTCAGGATCTATTCTACTGATGCACACACAAGTGAAATTCTTAAATATTTTAATAGAATGTCGCTCAAGAGAAATCTTCAGAAGGACACGGATGCGTGAAGACCTGGAATTGGTAGGGTTGTGACGTGCTTTTCACGGTTCTCTGATGTATCGCTACCGTTTGCAGCAGGGTCGGCGGCGACGAGCTGCCCTCAGCGAAGGCCTTGTATTATGGTAAACGAGACGTCGGTGGTAGGCTACCAGTCAGGAATGTCCCTACCACCTATATCTCTTTCTCTCTTTGCCTCCCTCTTTCTATTCCTTACGCTCTTCTTCGTGGTTGCTGTTCGTAGCAGCTTCGTCGCGTTCGTTTCCTACTGCCGAGTTATCGCGAGACCCCTAATGAAAGCCCTTCCCCCAACCACTAATTAACACCCACGTGACACCCGAGCAACGCAACGCGTCCCAATAAGGATGCAAATGAGGGCATACCTCGGGTCCAAGTCCTTTGGGATTTTCCGATAACAAGAGTTATTTTGTGATTGTTTTACAATTTATTATTTTGCAGTTTATTTCAGTAATCTGGTTTTCAAATTACATTACTTGAAGACAACTGTATAATACTTACAAGCGTCAAAATTTGATTTTGAACCGTCCAAGTGATTTATTATTAAGAATATAATAATAATATAGAATTTTATATAGAATTTTATGAGTCTTTCAATATTAACTATCTTAAAAATTAAAACTAAAGACAAAACAAGAAAATGAGTAGTACATGTATAAAAATAATGACATTACATAATAATAAATAATTATATCCAAGACCTCAACATTTTAGTGGTTTAAGAGAGAAAATTACGGACAAAATAGAAAATGTAGAGAAATTACGAGATAAATAGTTCTAATGTAAAGAAACGATTATATAAATGTTATATATAGTAAATAAAATTGATAAAGCGCTGGGATGGTCAGCGCTTTAATCCGCTCAATATTAATCCGGTTCGTCGCGACAACTTGTGACGCGCAGCGCGCTCATTATGGCGAGCTGACTGTCTCTTATGGAGACACACGATGATAATTCAATTACGGTCGGGTACACACGTTGAATAGCTCGTGCACATGAATATTGGTTTCGCATGCAGTACGAGGACGGGACCACACGTGCTATACTTACCCTAATGGATAACGAATGCGCACCTCGTAAAAGTCCGCCCCGAGCGACGTTTAAGGCGATCTGCTAACCAGATTAATACAACGGGTGCTCGTAGATAAGTCGAGCACGCTTGTCCGCGACATCATCAGCTCTGCTAGCGAAGTCCTCTTCGGATACAGAGGATTTTTCCACACAACGGGAGAAAGATCGAAAAAAATTCCAGAAATGCAAGGATTAAAAGAAACTGTAAAGGATTGTGTAAAGTTGAAAATTACATAAATAAAGAAGATTTTGATCGAAAGTGCCAAACGAATCTTTCTTTTTTTTGCCTCGACAACGTGTGTATTAATTAATAAGAAGTAAAAAACATATACTAGCCGAATTTTTTAATTGCTGTAACTTCCCATGCTCGATTCCCATTAAGAATAAAAAAATGTAATAAACAAAAAATTTGTAATGTCCCTTTATTTCCATCACTTTTCAATATTAATTATTCCCAACCTTTTTCGGTTGGGAATAATTTCAGGAAGTTTGAGATTTTCTACAAAACGTGGATGCATGCTAAATCTTCTTGCATTTAATTAAAGGATGTGATAACCAATTTTATTTTAAATATCGTTCCGTGAATGTTACATGGCCGGACTGGATTTATTAAATATACAAGCGTTTCTGCATATTAACGAGCATACATCCTATCAGGTTACCTATTTTGTTTAATAAAATATCGTTACGGATTAATTCGAATTTTGCGTCGCGAACGTGCGCATAGGAACGCACCAGTAATATTAATTGCATAAGGCACAAAATGGTATATGATTACAAGAATTGTCACATACTATGAAAGAGTAACGTTTCACGATTTCATTTCTCAATTAATTAAGGCTTATCAAATTTCCAAGTAAGATAATTTCCAAGTTCTTTAATATCTCACTTTCTTTATAAACATTTCGATCGAATTCTCAAGCGACAACTTCGACCTCTACATTTCGCATAACAACTGGAAACGAGAAGATAAAAAGTAATTTCAAAATATTTCAGGAGCAAATGAATAAATTTCAATTTATGAAAAATTAAAACAAGGATGAGAGAAGAGAGCTAAATTTCTCGTAGATTTAAAAACATGTATGAGAATATTGCTTTATATATGAAATAACATATTTCTTTACTTTATAAAAAAAGTATGTTATACAAAATTAAAATAAGACGAAGTAAATGTTAGGTTGTTTGTTTGAGTTACGATTAGTGCGTCTCGTCTAAGCTAAAAATTGCTCCTTTCATAGCATGAACGACGTTTCCATCACTTTTCATCACCTTTGATGCTGTTCGATCTAAGTGCAGTATATTTATAGTTAATTCACACACTCACACACACACATACACACACACTGAGTGCTATTCAGACGGGCAGTCGGTCGCTACGCGACAGGCAATGTCGGTCGTGAACAATCTGTACACGGATGTCACACAAGTTCGCACTTGGTGTGCGAGAAGAGCGCAAATATACCATGCCCGAGTATTGGTCAGCATTATTGGCCGCGGTTGTATCGCGTATGGATAACTCAGAACTTCTTCTTTGGCTCTTTGGATATTGGATGGCTGCATCGTTCAGATCCTGCACTTGTCTTCCAAAGATAAGAAATGGAGTATTTGCTCACAAAGGGTACACCCTGAGAATCTCTTCTGAATATCCTCTTGCAATGCATCTGCAGTCGGTATATACTGAGAGCTGCAGTAATGCAGGATCCATGTTCCTTTAATGTACAACAGAGGCCGCAATTCTGTCGTTCTTCTCTGAAGATGAAAGCGATCACTGCAGAAATTTTGATAGAATTTTATATTTTAAAAATTAATAAAACTTTTTCGAATTTATTAAGATGACTGGGTTGTACGAAACTAAATTTATCATTAAGAATTAAATAATGACAAGACTTTCGCTCAAGAGTTTCATAATCGCTATGAAATTGTTCTGTGTTGGCCTCATTTTTATATTTAGTTGACAACTATGCGATAAGAATTATAAAGTATATAATTCTTTAATATATAGTTAATATATAATTGTACGTATACATATATTATAGTTTAATATTTCAAAATTCATCTCGTTAACTATTCAAAATAGCTTTACGCTAGACTCACTTGTGCAGTCAGATAATGAATAAATAAAATGTGAATAATGAAGAATGTGTGACTACGTAGATAAGTGACACAAGTTTCTTAAAATCAAAAGTTTAAGAGAAAACACGTTTAAATGTTGAAACTAAAAATTGCAAATCACGAAAAAACTAAGTACTTGAACATTTAAATATTTAAGTGTTATTAAGAGTTTAGAAACGAAAAGATTGAAAAGTAAATTATTACCAATCTTTTTACTACTACTTCGTGTCACTGAGTAATAATTTGTTAAAGACTAAAAAGTAAGTGCGTGTATATATAAAAGAACAGGCGGAAAGTTGGATGCAATAGGTAAAGAACGCAGAATTGACGCTCTTCCATGTATATCGTTATATATTTACAATTTGACAACAAAATGTTAAACGTAACAGGTAGCCTCGCCCTCGGCCGGAAGGTGTAATCGAGGTATCGTTCTAGGAGAGCGCGAGGCCAGCTAAAGGTCTCACATAAATATAATAATATCCGTCATAATAATTTATTACGATCCGTAATTTATATATATATATATAATATATATATATAATATATGTTTATTTTTTAAATTTTTAAACATCTGCTTAACTGTCCGGAGTATTTTTTTTCCTTATTTTCTCTCTTTCTCTGTTCTTCCTTTTTCCCGTTTTTCCTTCTCTTATTACTATTACGAGCTTTGTTCCTTAATCTTTAGTATATTCGGATTGTCCCGTACTTGATGATGATATCGTACAACGCCCACGATATTTAGTTTACGCTTGCAAATCCTGCTAAAATTTACGTTCGGCGAGATGGCGTCGTTCCTTTTTTCCGCATTTTTCGTTTTGTTTTGAAAATTCCAATCTCGGACACGAATCGCGATTGTTCCGTAAGGCGTCGCGGCTCCAATCTATTTTCTTTTCCTTTTTGCATCTTTAGAATCCGTCCTTTGTATCTTAGGATTCGTACTCGTGTGTTCTGAGCGAAGCTTTCCCCAGCTAATTGAAGATTCATCCGTTCTACGAGCTTGGAACCGTTCGATTAAAAAAGTAGAAGATCCCTCTAGGACGGTAAGATCCTTTGATTATCTAAGGATCCAAGGATACACCAGGAGCTAACTAAGTCACTTCGTGGCCGCGACCGCCGTTTTGCGCAGAAAGCAAGCAAAACGAGTTCTTTGATATCACGTTTAGCAAAGACGCTTATGTACAAAAACTTTGACTTTCCTCTGTCGAATTCTCGATAAATCGATCCTCGCGAAAGGGATTTTAATGACAGTCAGCTTACCAATTCTTTTCATCTTCAAAAACTTGTTATTGATTTTATGTAAGAAAATTTGCAAAACGATGGATGTTAAGAGATGATTTTTGTCCGACCAGCGCCTGTGAAAACGCACTTCGCAACGATGCACACATGTGCATACACATATGTATATACTTATGCAATTAATACGTTTAAATAAATATATGAATTTATTTTGCAAAATCGCTCAAAGCAGTTATCTCGTAAAAGATGAAAAGAATCGCAGGTCTCGTGAGATCTTCTCGTTAATTTCTATAGTCTTGTGGCAGTGTATTACGCATAACAGATTTACGTTAGTCTTTATTTTACACTTATACGTATTTATATATGTATATTTATACAAAAAATGTAATCACGTACACGGTGTATCCAATGGAAGTCAAACTTCGAAGAATCGACACCAGTTGATCAAGACGACGTTTGATTGTGTCTTACGAGGGGAATGACAATTCTAAAAGGGGTTGGACTGTCGCGAATGGTATGCCGAGTGTGAAACACTCTATATAATAAGGATGACCGCTTAGTAAAGTCTCAAGGATTCAAAAGAAGTGCGAAAGATAGGAAAGAGAAGAATAGCGTTCACGTAGTTTTCTGCACGCGGTCTCGGTTTACATTGCACAGTAAGAGATCACATTGCGAGAAAAACAAAGAAGGAGCAGTCGAGAAAATCAGAAAGTTCGCGGCAAATCATTTAAGAAACTGTTCGGTCATCCTTCATATATATAACACACATGAGGGAATACGTGTACATGAAGAGGATACAAAGATCATATTATGTGCGTATCATATATCATAACTCAATACGTGCAGTACACACATCCACGCAATAAAGCCACCCCGAATGGCAGTCGGCATTAATTAGAGCAACGGTAATGAGCGGCATCGCTCTCATCGACGGAATCCTTTCGCGTCAGTCAGTTAATTTCAATTTATGTTTAGTTATGATCATGAACGCGCAGGGAACTCGAACGCCCTGTGCGAGAATCAATATTTCCCACGAAATCTAAGCTAAAGAGGAACATGAAAAGGAGAGAAGAACTTCGTGGGCAAACATTACGAAGTAATGCGAAATACCGATAATTCGAGGACTCGAAAGTTTCGAAAACTCAGAGAAGCGCGATGTCTGTTTGTTGTCGATGAATAAGCTCGCTCATTATATGCTCCCGAAATTTCTCCCTTACACTCGTACAACATGACGTCATGCGTGGACGTCGATATATTAACCGAGAAACATACGAGAAACATACGAATGAAAGATAATGCAAATACCGTTCTCTTACAAAGTAGCAAACTTTGGCGTCCTTATGGTATAAATTCACGTTATGTACAAGGAACATCTAACATCGTAGTGGCTAGTATTTCATTTTTACACTGTGTCTTCGTCGCCATTGATTCGCATTGAGCCGCCCACCACCACTCATCCCGTCTCCTTTAACGACTAGAGTTTTTGTTTTCTTATCTTTCTTTTTTTTTATTATCAACTAACTATGCAGAATGTGTCACGTTTGATTCCTTCGCGCAGAATTTGATTAAGCTTTCGATCAGTTCAAGACGGGCGTCCTGACTTGCCATTCTCTCTCTCTCTCTGTCTCTCTCTCTCTCTCTCTCTCTCTCTCTCTCTCTCTCTCTTCTTGATACTTGACTCCGCAAATATTCGTCGATGTCTACCGATTCGAGCAAGGCGTCGTCGGTCTTCTTTTGATTCTTTCATGCATCACGGGTTCGATTATTGATTATCGTGACTGAAGATCTCTTCCTCAAGACCTTCGCAAGTGTTACTCATAATGAGAGCCGCGCTTTTTTTTACCAAACACCCCGGTCACGTAAAAATCAAGAGTGTATTGCGATTTTACGAGAGACGAGTCTTAAAACTCCATTTGTTCTCTTATCTCTGTGTAAAAGCGCATTTTACGTTCCGTGTCGTGAAAAATCTAGATACAAGAATTCACAAAGATCGCGCGCGAGGCGGAAAAAAAGGGAAAAAGATCACATGTCTTTGAGTCGCGTTTCACTGGATTCACTGTGTGATTCCCGCAGCTTTGAACTCGCGATGACGCGACTCGATGAATCCCTGTTCTCTTTTTCGTGTTCGGTAGACGTGATTTCGATTCTTCGGTCACTCCTCAGCGATGAGGAGGCCTTCTCCAGCACCCCCCTCCGTTCGTCCGGAGCTCGCGTTCCTCGGGATATCCCGCGTCGGTCCGCTGAACAAACGATGACCCTTGGAGGATTCGCTTCAGCAGGCCTGCGGCGAGCCGCCTAGAGCAAGGTCGACGCCGTGAGGACATCCGGAACGACTGGCTTCGGAGGGGGGTCCAAGCATCACACTCGCATCTCATTCATCGTCGCCTGCGACACGCGACTCGACACCGTCGCGCTCTGCAGCAGGGGTTGGTTTTCCGGCGGGCTCTTCGCCCTAGGTGGCGGAGGAGCTCGTGGCACCGTCAGGTGGATTGATCCGTTCGGGGGACCCTGAAAAATAGAAAGAGAGAGAGAGAGAAGAAATGAGTAGATCAGCCCTTAGAAAATAAAATATAAAAGAGTTGAACTTTTTCAAGATTTCTCCGCTAACGTGATCATGCAGGTTGAAATGATGTTACGAGTAATTGAAGGGCGCGCAATGAAGGGGAATTTCTATGTGCTTTAGCTTTGATCCATTTTAAATACAAGCTCGTGCACGGACAATTTTTCTTACGCACGGCTGCATATTCAATTTTACAGCTATGCATTACCTCGGCATATCGCTTCGCGTACTATGATGCTGGCGCACCGGAAAAAAAGGCTGAAATGGAGAAGCTTAAAATCTGAATCGCTTTTGAACTCAATAAAGTCGCTGGGCTGTTACTCGGAGTGCTCGTAGTATAATGCATTTTTTCGTGTGCGCGTGATCTTACAACGACTGATAATAAAATATTTACTGTCGATAGCGCCATTATCCATTTCCAGATAAAGGGAAAAAAAGAGTTTCACATGGAGCTTTTTAAAAAGTTCAATTCGTAATCCTATTAAAGAAGTTTCCCGGAATTCTAAAGCATCCAGATAAAATATACGCGGAGCAGCAGTGGTGCTCTCGGGACATATTTTATGATCATAATTCCGATTACGTCATGCTTTACTCAGATACTAAATCTCTAAGCAGGAAAAGTTTCAAAGACCATGCTGCAGCGTATTTCATTAGCGGAAATATTACACGCGCATCGAACAGAGACTATTAATCTTAAGTAGCCATTTATTGTCTCATTATATGCTGCGATCTTCACGTGAATATACTGACAACATAAACATCTAACGAGAGATGTAAGCGGATACGAGAAGAGAAAACGTAAATGCAAATATTATCTTCTTAACATGCATTTATACGATCGCACTAATACATATTTTCAAATAGCAAAAGACAATATTGAAGTTAATGAAATGAATATATGATAAAATAGGATAAAATAAAACGAGCAGAAAAGAATAATTATAGCAACGCAATAAATGACTCTCTTTTCTTTTTAATAACAAAGCAAGAATATTATAAATTGAGAGTTACATACTTGAGTTTGCGTGTTGATGTCTTGAATGACTGAGGCTCGAGGAAGAGTGGCGTGTTGCTGTTGATGCTGCTTTTGATAATGATGCTGGTGAGGCAGCGTATGAGTACCTTGGCCTTGGAAAGGAGCGTTCGGATCATTAGGACCTCCTTTCATTACATTCCTGTAACAACAGAATTATTTAAGGAATCTGCTGTGTGAGAGAAGATGAATATATAGTTACAACGTATCTGTATTAAACGCAATAATGGAGTTGGTATTCGCGGAAAGGAATCTTCCTTAAAGCAATACAACGTTCCTCTTGATATTTTTTTCGAGCTTGCTTTAATTCTATCGACTTAACTGGATATTACGTAAAACAGTGAATAAATGAAAAATGTTTCATTACCTTCTTAACATTTCATTCTCAACGTCGACAATCACTTGGCCTCCACCGGCATAATGGGAATGCGGTGGTGGTGGTTGTTTCAGCTCGGTGAAGCCGCGAGGGCCGCATTGTTGATTTAACAACTGCTGCTGCTGAAGACTCTTCACCTCGAGCCGCGTTTTATCCCTCTGATAATAGACGCCGGCGAAAATTAGGACGTTCAAGATCAACAGGCTGCAGCCGATCGCGATTGTCACGCTCAAAGCCGTCGAATATGCCGCGTAACTGCAAATATAAAGTCCCCATTAGTCTGTATCTTGATGCTGAGATAGCTAGACGGGTCACGTGTTGAAGAAAGAAGCGAATTTTATTCTAAAAAAATATATTATGTTCATTGGAAAGCTTGAAAGGTACATAAGAAATATATTCTGTGAAATTAATATTGATAGTTTCCAGAAACACAGAAGCGGAATGAAGCAAAGTAAAAGATTTACGACCAATGTGATATTTTTGACTGGCAATTAAATTATCACGAAAAACAGACAATTACCCAGCTGCGTCCAGGCTGGCTAAAGTATCGGTGCTGGCGTTATGAACGTTCTGAAGATTGGTGCTCTGGATGAGGCTGACACAAGTGGTCATGCTGTAATCGGTCGTGGTCGGCGGTTCCGTGCTAAGGTTCTTCCTCTTGAACTCCTCGCTGATCCTGCTGAGGGGATCCGGCCTCACAGAACCGTCATACAAACCGGGGTCACTGTGGCCGCGGAACAGGTTGTGCCTGGAATCAACATCCTCCATTCCGGCACGATGAAGCTCTGGGACGAGGCGCAGCCAGACCGATAGCTGATGCGCCCTGTAATGATTCTTCATCTTCGGCTTCATTCCTGCAACAGTCGTTCACATAGCATGTAGTGAGAGTGTGAAAGAAGATCTGCAAAATAATTAGGATAAAGAGAGAGATAAGAAGATTACATATTTTTCAGAATGTTTTATGATGAGAAAATATTGCAAAAGTATATAAAATGCAAGAATGATTAAACGATAATAATAAACATTGATTATCATTGTGCAGAGATTAACAGCCAAAACTTCAAAGAAATGGCTTCCTATTTCGAAGAAAGCATCTTCCTAAGAGGTGTCGACGAATTTTGAAATTTCAGGAAAGAATCCTCTTGTTATTTCGGGCAATTCTCGACGAAAGAGTTCGCAGAGGATTCTATATAAGCTTTAGTTAGAACGCTCGCTTTAGTGCAGATATAACTCATCGCTGAAATGCTTAGGTTAATAAGTATGTGTATCAGAATTTCGGGGAGCCAGTGTCCCCGTGGCGCAACGTATATATATATCATTGCAAATCGTTAGAGAGAACGAAAGGGGTATAATGCCAGTGAAATGACATATTAGCGACGAGCTGAATATCGCGTATCCAGTAATCCGCAGTCTCAAGTTTTGCACGATAATCTGTTTCCGATGGCTCGGATGCAGCTGCAGCTGCCGGTCCACGGATGATCTTGTTACGATGCGACGAGGCATGCAACGAGCTCGACATCGCCAAACAATATTAAAATAGGCACCGGAAACGCTGAATGTCCACGGTCGATATTTCAACGTCAAGTAGGTGAGTCCATTGGCCCCGCAGCTCCAATGCACCTTTCCTCTCGGACTGGTCGTAGTTTCCGACGCGATTGGTTGAGTTGTATACGGGCGTCCGCAGAAATCCCACGATTTTTCAGCAAGCTCGAAAATCGTCGCGGTCGAAAATCCGGAAGGGAAATTCGAACTCCGGCATTGTCGGACCGTTGTGTAAATCAATACTTGCAGATTGTTAATGCCTCGCACTCCAGGGAAACAGAACTCCGCTGAATATCGCTGACGCTTCTCCAGATACTTTCGTCGCAAATTGTTTTATTCTTCCAACTAGTCCGCGAACTTAACAAACTTACGTTGGGATTCGATTCTGGCGGGATTCGCCGATGCGCGCTCGCGAACTGCCAAAGGAATATAATCGGCTCGTCGGGGCCGGTATCTTGTATATAGTTTATTTGCTTACGTGTCTGTTTCGCTGATTCCGACAGCCGCTTGTTTTGCTATCGCCGTTTCGTAAGAGACGCAAAATTGTCTGGGGCGCGCCGAATCGCACGCAAGAGCCCTCAAAGGAGCTCGCTTTGATTCACGGTTCGCGGCAACTCGTTTAATATTCGCGAATCCTTTCAAAGGATACGACCTTGCCGCACGCGCAGTATCGTGCAACTCGTTCGATTACAGAACGGAAATGCGGACAGCCCCTTGTCGGTGCACGGAAAAACGAATTTGCGCGTCCATCACCTTTCTGCGTTGCCTATACTCGCCTAAAGATTGAACACAACAAATGGATTGCACTCGAGGAGAGAGTATCGGGAGTTGTTGCGAATTTGAGAATTTTATTTGAATACTCCATGATCGATTTATATGTTTCCGCGTGCCTTTGGAGGGAAACAAATTAGGCAAAATTGATTGCGGCAAAATTTAATTGAAAGTCATCCGGGGAATCCAACCGGTCAAAAGGAAATACGATTAATCTAGGACACCGTGTATGTCTGACAACCTGAAACTCGGAACAGCGAGCAGAAGGGAAGCAGCAAGGTGACGTCGAATGCGATTGCTGTCGAGGATTTCGTGCTACCTTCGTACGGTTCGTGAATTATTGCGATGCACGTCAGTGATGTTTGATTTGCTGGTGCTCGCGGGAGTGGACCGTCAGAGAAAGAAAACGAGAAAGAGGATCGAACGAAAAGAGAGAGAGAGAGAGAGAGGGGGAGGAAAAGGGAAATAAATAGAGAAGGAGAGAGCACGAGGTAGAGTTAAAGGTCAAAAGTGCAGTGTACTAAAAAGAAACTACGAATACAAACCGTGGGATTTTTTTAAGCATTTAAGATTGGGAGATAAAATCGCTCACTTGGAAAGATTTTCTATTCAGCTATGCATCGAAACGAGATATAATTCTGATATCTTGCAAAATACACGTGAGACTGATCATAGTCCAAAAACATTATGCCAATTTAGATACTACAAATTACATGGAACGGGAATTCTTGTCAAAATTGCAGCGTGAGCGGAGACAAATAGCTCAATTTTTAATTTGTTAATGACATACATTACACAGTTGTTTTCGTTGTCATCTCGTCGTTGCTTTGTTATTATAGTCGTTATACATACTAGTTGCGCAAACGTGTGTATATAAATGTAGCTACATTTAACGAACGTAGTTGGCGTTAAACAGAAATTTTTCCGTGTAATAGTGTATCATCTAAATACGCCCGCGCGCCTGTGTTATTCTAGTCAACTTCAAAATACAAATTTGAAAGTCGGAACAAGACTTTAACGTAATATTTAAATGGTGAAATATCTAATATTGAAAATTGAGAGGACGTAGAAACTGATCGATGAAAGCTTCGTTAAAAAGCTGGACTTGAAAATGTCATTTCTCAGCGACTTGTGTGCCGGACGAAGCAAGAGAGCAAGAAGGAGAGAAGAATCGACGCGAACATAGTGTTGAATTTTTTAGTTTGATTAGGCTATCGGCTCTCTTTCATTCATGGCGCTCTCGAACGAGTACACGAACGTCTGGTGGACGTTCATGAATTTTTACACAACCAACGGCCGTCGCCGTACGTTCCAGATTACCGTTGCACGTGAAGTTTTTATTGGCTGTCGCGTGATAGCTTCCGGAGTCGCCAAGCAGAATTTTATCGGCGACGGAACATTAGCAATAACCATTCCTCACGTTTAACAGATGTAACAACGCACAGCAGTCGGACTACAGCAATTTAATTTTGCCGTTTCGTTAGATACAGTTTAATCCATAATTACAGTTAAATTCATGCAAATTGCTGCGAAATAATTGCGTATTTCGGTTTCTATTTCGGTTCACAGTGCAAACGCGACACAATGAAAATTTTCTTAATCCAGTGTAAGTGATGAAACGAAGTTTTTTTAGTCCGATACAAATGCAGAGGAATCGCGAACATAAAATGCAATAAAATACCATCGCCCATACATATATCCGACATAACGCCTGACGTAACTTGAAGTATTCATGGCAACGATGTACGGCGTGTTCGCAGCGAATTTCAATCCCAGTAACAGAAATCCTATATCTAGACACGGAGATTTCGTCTCGAGAATCCGATTAGTATTATAGTTAGTTGGCTTTGCCGACGAGATGCCTCGCGCGCGAGATACGTGCGAATATAGTTGTTGTGCGCGTGCTAAATTCCACTTAACTCAAAGCGCGATTTGCTAATGAATCTACCGGTAGCACTCTGGACGATTTTGCGGATGAGCAAACTCGATTTTTGCCGGGATTATAATATACGCATACAGTTAGCGAGTGAACAACGGCGGAGAAACGGTGTAACGAATCGCCACTTTTCAGGAAACGTATTGATCGGTCTCTCGTAGAACCGTTCTGACTGACGAGGGGGAGTATTAGTATTGCATTAAATTTAAGCATATATGCACATATATATCTATATAGGGCGAGAGCTGATTTCTATGCGAGCCGACGAACGGAAAAACTAGCTGGCGATTATTACGGAAGGATGGAACCGAGCCTGGACCAAGCAAGGATGCGCAGGAATTCGGGTCAGAGGTTCGCGCGAGTCGCCGGTGCCAAACTAATTACTGCCGATTCCTGCTCCTCCGTTTGTCTCTCCCTTCCCCCCTCGAAATCGGCAAAGGCAGAAAAGCCGTGATTTCAGCAGGAGAAATGCCATGGCGACTAGACACGAATTGTGATTTAATGTGTGACGTTCAAGAATAAATGGCTGTCGCTTGCATTCGTCCGATTAATCGCAGTATTTAATCAAGTCGCACGTGATTTAAAAATGGATCTCTTTGGGGCTACCCTTGCGATCCTTAGAAACAACACGAACAATGTCGTGAAAAATATAAATTTATAGTACGGGCAACGTTATGAAATAAAAAATTTTGCCGCACGGACAGCATTACAAAAAAAAGAATTGCTGAAAAAAAATGGATTCCTATGAACGAAACGTTTGGAATATTATATAGCTGAAGCTCCCTATTCGTGGTTTCATCATTCGCGGAGTAAAAAATTGTAACCGCTCTTTTTATTTGCGATCAAAAAATTCTGTATTCAAAGTCAAAATTTCAATTCTATTCTATTATAATTCTATTAGTAAATAAATAAAGACTCCATTGAAACTGATTTAGGAGAGATGCTTCCCCCTGAAGTTCCGAATGAAGAAGAACGAATACATAAAAGCTGACACTGAACTTCAAAAATCCATGATAAAATAAGAGTTTCAAATGATCTTTGTAAATTTTTCATGAAAATCCCTCAATGGAATAAAGTCTAATTTAGAAAAGAAGAAGAAGCAATGGCCGAATATAAGTTTGAGTTCAGGAGCTTACAAAGTGCCACAAAACAAGTTACCAAATTTTTTAAGCCAATTTCTAATCAAACATCCAATATTCAAGTAATTTGTTGCAATGTTAATAATGTCTGGATCTCAAAGAAAATATTATAAAATCATATTGAGTTATAAAATAAAAATATTATAAAATCATATAAAATCATATAAAATCATATAAAAATTCAAATTAATTATTAAATTAATTATAAAAAAAATTAAAATTAATTATGAAATAATATTATAATATTATAATATTATAATTTAATATTATAAAATCATATTAATTATGTATTAACTTGAAATAAAACCACCTTTTCCAATAATTTCTCTCAATTTTCTTAGAACATATCCCAAATATTTGCATACATTTTAGCATCGTATATTCGCGGCATGTTGGCAAAATCTATTCCCCGCAAATAAGGAGCTATGACTGTACAAGTAATTGTTGGAGATATATATTTTTGGTA